AATACTAATGTATCTACACTAATGTATCCAGTTTCTAAAGAGAGAAACCGAAATAGAGTTTAAGAGATTTCATCTAACTACAAGATAGGCTAAGCCCATAGGTTCCCAGGGTTTTGCATACCAGAAAGAGGCAGAAGCAACTTTCAAACTCAGATTCAAACGCATTCCCAAGCCTGTTCTGAGCCACTGCAGTTTGCCGTCTCTCAAATGGACAAAATTGGCAGCCACCTGTAAACCAATTAATTTTCCATTTTATATCTATCTAGCTTATTCTAACTATTCCTTTTCAGTGAAACACAGAAAAGGTGCCATTTTTTCCACATTTTCACATCTCCGAACTTCCTCTTATAAAACTAATCAGTAGCCACGATGGTTCACATGGGTAATCATTTTGAATGTGAAAAAATGTTTCTTAAAAAGTGCCTTACAGTAAGAGTAATCTTCTCCCACTGAGAAAACTCTAGAAAATGTGAAGATGTAGAGTGGGAATGAGAAATACTTCTTTCCCTTACACAACTGTTAAGATATGGTGGATATTTTCCTCTAATTCTTTTCTGTATCATTAACTAATTTATGATTACAATCTATACATAATATTTTCTGTTTTCTTGTTTGGCATAAAGCAATTTTTGTAACTTCTTAAGCCTCCAAAATCTCCTTGACTGTATACTGAAGTTGTCACATTGATGGGGTCATTCAGTCAGTGACAATTTAGTGCTTACTAAATTTGCTGCTTTCCACAGGAGGAGAAAGCAGAAGATAAGACGCAATTCTTGCCCTCATGTACTTCAACTTCCCAATGAGCTCTGTTGACATAAAAATGTCACTAAATGCTCTCTATGCAATAACAGTTCTCTCAGTTTTGATCATATTAGCAGGGTTTGGCTAAGAATGCTAAGTGTTTTTCAACTTCTTTCCACCAGGAAGGGATGCTTTTCAATTTTAAGTAAACTATAGCATTGGCAACAAGGAACCTTCTCAAAATTTCTACTGACGGTCCAAGTTTTTGAGTATGGAAGTATTTATGTTGAAAACTACTTGAGATTTTAAGAAAGAGGATTTTAACACATGTATACACAATTTAATCAACTTGCACTTTACACTTTTATTGTTCAAGGTTGCTAAAATATTTTCTTTCATAAAATTGATCTCTTTATGATACAACAGTTAAGCTTTGACTAAACTCTCATAGTTTAACTAAACATATTGAATATTTTTGTTAAAATGAACAAGGTTGAACTGAATAGGATAATAAAATTAAAGCCAAATTATAAGAATTTCTATATGCCAAAACAGAAAAAAAGAATCTTAGACTTTAGTTCACTTAATAAAGAGCCAGGTGCTAATTTCTCATGCTTTCAGAAATCAGTAAGTGCAAACAACTTATTAAATCAGTCAACCTCTGGTATACCTCCAGCCAACACAGAAAAACATTTTTTACTGTAAGTCCATAATAAAATGGCAATGAAATGAGAAAGTTTATGCAAGAAATGGTCATGCCAATGGTAAAAATTATTACAGTATTAGTAAAATGTCAATCACTGAAGTACATTGCCATCTCCTTGCTCATAGGATCTGTGTTGGTCACATGTAATGAGCAAAACTTTACAAAGTGAATCTGTTGAATTAAGTGATTTCATGTTTATTTTAACCAATATTGTTGTTTTTATCCTCTTATGTATATAGGCAGATTAAATAGAGTTCACAATGTGTTTATAAATATTATATTAGCAATTATCAGGTTTATTATGTTATCAGATTTTTTATAGTGTAGCTCCTACACATAAGTTCAACATCACACACACACACACACACACACACACACACACACACACACACACACATTTCTGTAAGAATGCATATTGGAAATCAGCACCAATATATTTTAATATTTTATTAATGTTTATTTCTATATATCTTGAGACAAATAAATTAGAAAATGGGAGGGCAGGGACAAAGGAAAAAAATGAGAACCAAGACCTGTCATGTAAAGGTGCAAGATCCCAATGATGAATGGAACTGTACTGTACACCTAAAATGTACCAATAAACTCAATGAGAGAAAAAATAAATTAGAAAATGGGAGGGCAGGGACAAAGGAAAAAAATGAGAACCAAGACCTGTCATGTAAAGGTGCAAGATCCCAATGATGAATGGAACTGTACTGTACACCTAAAATGTACCAATAAACTCAATGAGAGAAAAAATAAATTAGAAAATGGGGTCTGCTCTCTACATGAATAATAAATATGTGGTTCCAGTCAACTTCCACATAACTTACCGTTCGGCTGCCTGGCTTTATCTGCTCAGAGCAGCCATTAAGGTCTTCACCACCATCTTCCCTTGACACATAATTATGCCCTTACTACATTTACTCTGCCTCAAGCCTCTGCTCTTTGTCTGTTCAGGTGGGAGCAAGTTGTCTGCATGCTCCCGGGCCAGAAGCAGCGTGATCCCTTGGTAGCGTATGAGAAACAGAAGCTCCGGCATGCTACAGACCTTCTGGATCAGGGTACACATCTCTAGGTGAGCGCTCTGCTTGTTCAAGTTTAGGACGCACAGTTACACGGTCACCACCCTGCCCCCAGGACCTTGGCCAGTGGAGCTGTGCGAGAGTGAACACAGCCGAGATGTGTGTAAGCAGACGCTTCCCCACCATTTCCTTTGCTGAAAGAAGCATGTTGTGGATAAAAACAAGGCTCACAAGTCAAGTGATACAGACGCTGGTAAGCCTCTGTGGGACTTCAGGTTGAGTTGGACCTCAATTCTTTGCAAAGCCCATACTGCGTATTGCGTGCCTGCCAGGGGAGGTATGATCATAAAGTAATGAGATTAAGGTTTGCATATACTCTTTGGCTCAGTGTCAGTCACCTCCGAGTCATGCCATGGAAGCTAGTGCCCATCACCACTGGGGCTTGCTCAGCTTGCCTGCCTGTCAGGTTTGCCTGGACAGCATTTTATTCTGGCGGCAGCACCGCATAAGTCTGCGCTTACAGTGGTCACGAGAGATGTCTTGTATCTGGTCAAACACTGGGACGTTTTTGGAAAACCATCAATCAAATGTGATTACCCAGAGGGACGTCTGAGCTTCCCTCTCTGTTCTTTCTCATCTTTGATCTCCCAGTGGATTTTCTTCTCCACCCGCTTCACCCACTTCTCGAAGACCTTGATAAATTATGACCCTTGATTATTAGAAGCCAAGAAATCAGAGCTAGCTAGCCCATGACAGCATATACGTGCTTTTCATCTCTTGTGTCTTGAATCCCCTAGTGTTCTTATCCTTATTTTGTAGATAAGGAATCTGAAATTTGGACAGAGAGGACTGAGCAAAGTAGCTTCAGGGACAGTTGAGCTCATGTCTTTGGCCCTAAATGTTTTGCTTTTTCTTATTTAATCTGATGCTTCTGGGAAAAAACTACTGGCTTTCCATGGGTCTTTACTTCTCCACATGAATTTACATCACCACTGCCTTCTCGGAGCCATTTTGTTTCTTTATTCCTAGTTTTTATCAGTAGATTCAAACGTCTTGCGAGGAACAAATGGCATACATGAGAGCTCGGTTCCGAAGGCCCTGCTCATCCTTACCCGCATCTTCCTCAAGTGCACCTGCAGCAGCTCCGATGAGGAAGACCTGAGCCACTGGGTGGGCAGAAAAGACCCTGACCAAGGGGGAAGAATAAGAACAGGAGCTTTGTGCAGGTATTCGTGAGTGCGCTTGTGAAATTCATTGTTCCATGTTTTCAACGGTTGAACATGACTTCTTCGACCAACTAATTGTCTCTTTTCGAATGGAGAAATGTCAATGACTGGCATACTCGTCATGTAGTACAAGCTGCTTTCTACTTAAAATTTTAAAATGCCCCAGACCCCTGCCCTCCCTTCAGAATAAGGACCAAGACATATCTCGTAAAGGTACAAGATCCCAATGATAAATGTAACTGCATCGTTTGCTTTAAATGTACCAATAAACTCAATGGGAAAAAATAAATAAGAATTTGAAATGCAGCAGTGTTCTATATAACCTCTTAAAATATTCTCCTTTGTAGGACACATCCATGTAAAAACTGGTAGAAGTCATAGGTTTGACTTAGCAATACGCAGAGCATAGCACTGGACTACAAAAATATTTCTCATTCTCTTGTACTTTACAATTTCTATGCATTCTCACCAGCTGTATAAATACAATTAGCAGCTAGCGGGATTTTATAGAAAGTGACTACATATCATTATGTCATACAGTGATACAGTTGTTAAGAACTCATGAGGAAAAGTTACAAACAGGTAGATAGATGCTACATAGATTAAAAATAAAGAACAAAACATATACATCATTTCATAGGGAAGCATGGGCTAGATTGAACCAAATTACCTAAGTGACATAACCATATTGTATAGATATTTCTCTGAGATACAAATTCATGTTTTCATAAATCTACACGAGCAAAAGTAATTCGTATGTAGTACTTGGAATTACTTTATTAGTCTGGTAGCTTTTTCCATGGAAATAAATACACCTGTGTCCACTGGAAGAGCCTTCTCCAAGTGACAGAGACTGTGGTACTGTACCCATACCTCCAGCTTGCTCTGGCCACTTCAGACTAGTTCCTGTCATTGTCACTAACTTCTGCACACACTGATTTTGCAGCAAAATAGCTAGAACAGTTTGACTTCAGACTCACCTATGATATGATGTAATATGTAGGCTCCTATTCATCACACGAGTCTTTGCGTGTGCTCTAAAAATTATTTGGCATCAAATTTCACATGTTTTGAGCACAGATAAGGGGAAATAATGTACAGTATTAAAGACTATCTAGGATTTACACATCTATCACATAAAATGTTATTATCTATCACATCCAGACCTTCTACTCTCATCTGAGAGTAAAATTAAGTAAGTAAAATACAGACAAGTATATGTCAAAAAGCAAGCCATGTGGCTTAGCTGGAAAAGAGTTGAAATGGCAAATATTTTGTGAAGCAAAACATGTTTGTGGGAACTGAGCAGGAGGCACTGTAATTTGGGTACCAGTTGAATTTTGAGCAGTTTTTCACTTTCTGGTTTGCCGGAGGCCTTTCTCCTCCTCACTTTCCACGGCCCCAGCCTCTCTGTTTTGCAGTTATCCTTTCTGTGAGTTCCTCTGAAATGCTTAGGTGTTTTTAAGTGGCGTGCATTCTAGCACCCTGAAAATAAAAATTAAAATGATTTGTTTTAAGTTTGGACCCTTAAAGACGACGAAAGGAGCCAAGGATAGGAGAGGTACAGGGAGGGGAGAGAGGAGGCAGGGAGACCACATCGTTGGATGTAAGGGGGCTATAGATGCAGTGGCCTCTCTCCTTGTCATCCAATCCTTGGTTACTCCATTAAGAAAAGTACATCTTAGGTGTCTTCTTAAGGGAGTTGTACTCGCACTCTCTCAAAAACCCCATTTGAACATTAATTTAAAATCTGAGCCTGTACTTTACCCCCAGAAGAGAAAAGTAGTAATTGAAATTTAAAACAACACTTTGTGTTTGGGTCTGTGTTCCAGTGGTTATTTAGGTTGGAATTCAGAAAGAAGAGAGAGTTCCAGCCTCCCTGATCCACACACTCGTACCCATGCATATTCTCCATGTGGGGGAAAAGGAGTATTCACAGCAAAGTCTAGAGGAATAATTGCCACTAGAGATACTGTACAATCATAATAGGAAATTGTATCTACATTTTTTCTGTGCAACTATGGAATTCAGATACTTTTTTCTTAAATCTGTTAAATGAATGTGTGAAATGCCTTTTTGATTTATATACTCATTTACTCCCTAAATTAAAAAAAAAAAAACTGAAGTGCTGGCAATTGAACACACGGCCTTGTGCATCAAAGACAAGTGCTCTCACTGAGCTACATCTCCACCCCTTCTCATTAACTTTTAAACAGTTTCGGACATCTAGTCAGGCTAAGAATTTTACAAAGCCCTTTGAATCCAAGTTGGGCTAGATGAATTCTTTTTCACTTTTAATAGATTTTGAAGCAAAATACAATGGACCTTTGAACATGAGCCCAATTCATTCTCAAGGCCTGGTCGTAATTCAAATTGGTCAACTGAAGGCTCAGGCTCCTCTACACAGCCTTGCAAGTCCCTCTCCTGTACACAGACAGATTTCAGTGTCCTTAGAGAGACCTTGGCCCAGGATTTCTCACATAATCCTCATAGGAAAGGATGCAGTAATGTTCCTTCCAGAACCTTTACAGGTTAAATCTGTATCTGAGACCATCTGGAGCAACAGTGGCCAGCATTCAGGTTGTAACTCAAGACTTCGGTCAGAATTTAAAATTTAAATTCTGGTTGTAACCCAAGTGGTTCACATGTCAGGCCAGTCGTAACCCAAGGCCCCACTGTGTTATTAATAAAGTAGTCAATGGAATCTTTTTTAGAATACAGGACACAAAGTGAGCTCTCTCAGTTACAATGTAGCAAGTAGAACACACATGACCTTCCTGTGGGGGAAACTCATCCGATCTATTCAGCATCTTTCAAGACTAATTCCTTTGTCTGTGAAATGGTGATTATAAATCTCTGGATTTTATGATCTGAATCAAGTGGAAAAAATTCTAATACATACCATAGGTACTTAATAAATTTTCTTTTGTTAATTACCATCTTGCCACTCCTTTGAACATCTAACATATCATGTAGCTGGAAATTGACTTCCTTGTGTGAAACAGTTGACCTAGGATGGCGTTATATCTAAAACTATATAAATGGTTTAGGACAAAGCAACCCTTTTCAGCAAAATTTCAGTAAAATATTTTCAACACAATGAAAAATTCTTCAGGATTTAGAACTGCAAAAGTTGTGATTAATGTCCACACCAAATTGTTTATCAGCCTCACACATCCTTCTCTTTCACAAATCTGTAAGCTCCAAGTGCTGTGAGCGCACTGGGCACTGAACTGAGATAAAGTGTCCCCGAGTGATCTCAGGAGTGCTAACACCTAGGTGCTAACTGAGTGAACCTGTATGGCTTACCTCACGCATACTTCAAAATTGGAGAAGGGCAGACTTTGTAACTTACTTGTAGTATTGTAGAAGTCAGGAAAACTTTTTTTTTTTTAAACTTAATGAAAAGAAGCAAGTAAATTTTTGAGCAAAGTATAAAACAACTTTGCAAATATTATCCTGAAATGCACACTTGTCCTGCTCATCTCTCAAATGAGTGGCTCAAATATCTTAAAATTTTTGCATAAAATATGGATAGTAAAGAACAGGAAAGCTAAATTGTTTTGGTAACTGAATGAGGCAAAAGGTTCAGGTGCAATTAAATGTGGAGAACTTTTCACTTCTGAGTTGAAATGACCCATATTTATAATGAATCGTATTTACTTGAAAACCACTAATCAAGTGTGATTACTATTACCTAAATAGTACACAACAGTGGCATGCCAATTTCCATAATTCTCGTTGATGCAAAGCTCTTCATTATGAATCAAAATATGGCCCATTCAGATAGGTAATTCTTCTTTGCTTACTTTTAAGTTATTTTTCCTCACTCAGGGTTGCTATTCTCTTGAATTTGCTTGACTTTTTCTTATTCGGAGAAATTTTTGGAATCCATTAGGCCATTAAGAATCCGCTTAGGCCAGTTTTTCCTACAAAGTCATAAAGTGTGTGATGAACACAATGCCAGAACATGATTTGACTGGAATAAAATAGTGTCCAGACACTAATGTTTTTACTCAATCCCAATATAAAAACTAGATTTTAAATTACTATAATAGGCCACTGTAGACTTACGTTCAATTTATAATGAATGAAAATCTCTAAATTTCTCTTTCCTTTTTTGCCACACATGCTGCTAAGTTGGATCTTTTCGGTCTTGAACTTAACATTTCCTTGGCTGATTGCATGGATTCTATTATTATAGTTTATTTTTTAAATTTTTTACCCAAATCCAATAAAAATCCAATTTCCACATGTTTTTATTTTAGTATTGTATTGCTAAACAAACCCATTTTATCTCTATTTTCAGAGAAAAAGCTATTCTTCCTAGAGATCATATTTTAGAACTCTTAGAAGAAATATTAAAATATATCTACAGGAAATTAGATAATGTGATCTGTAAAAAAAAATCTGAAAATTTAGAGACTTGGAAAGACTTGGTATTGCCATGTTTGAGTGTTTCTGGGTGTTTGGGGCGCAGTAGAATCCTTCAGTCATACTTTGCCCGAAGCAATCTTAAATTTTCAATTATGCGTAATAAATCCAGGCATATTTAATCCATATATTTCACGATTCATTTACACTTCAATCACTACGCTGTTATTTTGAAGAACCATTTGATGTCTATAAGCCCTTTGAGCCTTTAATATATGGTTGTGAAATCAAATCCCTCCCCATACTCATACACACATATTATTTGCAAATGGATCATTATGCTTTAGCTTCAGTTAAAAAAGAAAAAAAAAAAAAGGCTTGCACTTGGGGTGTGGTTTTAACATTCATGCCACACAGCTTGATGTCACATTCAGCTAAAAGTCATTGCTATTTAAATCCTTTGTTTAATAAGTTCATTCACATTTAATATTTTAAATCAATATTGCAGAGACTTATATAGCCAACTCAGTAGACTAAAAACATTAAAGGTGTAGAAGACATCTTTACAGCAGTTTTAGGAGATGTACGTCTGCTTTGTGTATCTACTTTCCTGTAGACATAAGAAAAGAGTCCACGCTCCTCCTCATCCCCTTCACGATGTTTAGACCACGATATCCAGCTCATGCTGCCCTTCTCCCTCTGGGAGCTCAGGATAGTACAACCAGGTGGAGAACTGATCTGCACCTTTTCTCATCTCAGAAGAGCCCCATTGTGGTGTATCATCTTCCTCCCTTTCCAAAGAAAATATTTTCTCCTTTGTAGGTTTGTAACCCCGGAAATGTTAGCAACCTGCCTATCCGATCACTTGAAAATTGACAGTTACAGAACATGGGAAGGGGAATCCCTACTTAGGATTCTGGACCTTACTTACATTATGAAATCATAGGACTTTCATTTCTTAAATATTGATGGAATTCACCAATAAGTTCAAACATTTATGTCACAATTACTTCAATAATTGCCTAACTTTTCTCCTTGTTTCTACACCGTGAAGCTTGTTTTCACCAGAGTTATCCAAATAACCTTTCCAAAGCAAAATTTTCATCTTGTCATTTTTCAGCGATCTGAGGAAATTAAAATCTTTGATCATCTGTCCTGCCTAACTGGCCTCCATTCTCTGCATCTCCTCTGTACACTGTATGTCAACAAAATGAACTTTAAGTTCTTTAGTTCACTTCCAATCTTTCCAGAGTCAGTTTTCCTACTCAAAAGAGTCAAGGTATCTGTCATGATAATGTGCATCTTGATCACAACTGCACTCCCAACCCTCAACATTGCTCTGTGAGTATGTGGGGAAGGGGTAGGAATGCAAAAAGAGCAAAATGGAGATAGAATAGAAAGGGGAAACAAAGAGAAAGATTATGTTGGTGGGCGTACAACCATTCTCTGAATCCTTAAAAATACTGTCTTCTGAAAACAGTGAAATGTCAACTGTTCATTTTTAATAATAATAATAATATATCAACAGATAACATAAAAATAGAGAAGGGCTGAAAGAGTCAAAATATATTCAACACACTAAATCTGGTTTGAAGTGCATCAAATATATCTTCCCAAACCTCAAAATGACATCAGATATATAGTTAGAAAGCTGGTAACCCTCTTAGGGAGTGTCACATTTATTTTCTACAAGAAGAAATAAAGATGTGTGGAGGTACCATTCCTTTCCTTTCCTGCTTTTCTTTTCTGTCTCCATGTTGAAGAATGTTACTTCATTAACTTTTCCAGAACATTGAAGGGTTGTGATAATTTTAATGCAATTGTATATCAATGTTTTGCTTTATTATGATTAGATATTGAAAATCTTCATTAGTTTCCAACAGATCAAAATATGTAGTCAACCAAACAGAACTAAGGCATGGCTACTCTGAAAGAAGTGATCGAAGAGGATATAAGAAAATGGAAAGATATCCTCTGTTCCTGGGTGGGAAGAATCAACATAGTGAAAATGGCCATACTACCAAAACTGCTGTACAGATTCAATGCAATGCTGATTGAAATTCCAACACTACATTTCACATAATTAGAAAAAAATAACCCCCAAAATTCATTTTGAACCAGAAGAGACTTAGAATAGCAAAAGCCATCCTAGGCAACAGAGACATGGCAGCGGGTATAACAATTCCCAGTTTGAAACTATACTACAAAGCCGCTGTGATAAAAACAGCATAGTACTGGCAAAGAAACAGACCTGAGGATCAGTGGAACATATTGGAAGACACAAAAACAACTCCAGATGTACTCAGATACCTCATCTTTGACAAAGGAGTTGACCATCCTCACTGGAGGAAAGATAGCCTCTTTAACAAATGGTGTTGGAAAAATTGGATTTCAACCTGCCAAAGATTAAAACCAGACCCTCATCTTTCACCAAACTAAAATCAAAGTGGATTAAAGATATAAATATTAAAAAAGAAACACTAAACTTGCTGAAAGATAAGTTAGGCAGAACTCTTGAACACATTTGCATAGGAAAAGACTTTATGAACAAATTCTCAGTAGCACAGGAACTAGCAGAAAGAATCAACAAATGGAATCTCACCTTATCAAAAAGCTTCTGCACTGCAAAAGAAACCATCAACAGAACTAAAAGACAATCTACAATGTGGGAAAAATTTTACCAGCTGCTCCTCAGTCAAAGCACTATTATCTAGAATATATAAAGAACTCAAAACAATCAGTGGCCCCCCAAATATAAAGATTCAAATGGGGCATCTGAAATGAACAGACATTTCTCAGACAAAGAAGTAAAAGCATCAAAGAAATACATGAAAAAATGTTCCATATTACTGATCATTCAAGACATGCAGATGAAAACAACACTGAGATTCTACCTCACCCCACAAAGAATGGCTGCTATCAAGAAATAAACCAATAACAAATGTTGGCAGGGTTGTGGGGAGAAAGGAACCCTTCTCCATTGTTGGTGGGAGTGCAGACTGGTGCAACCAATATGGAAATCAATATGGAGATACCTCAAAGAGCTGGGACTAGAGGTTCCATTTGACCCAGCCATCCCTCTGTTGGGTATCTTTTCAAAAGAATTAAACGAATCATATCACAATGATATATGTGCACCTATGTTTATAGCGGCACAGTGTGTAATAGTTAAAACTGGGAAACAGCCCATGTGCCCATCAATTGGAGACTAGATAAAGATGTGGTTTTTCTATAAAATGAAATACTACTCAGCTATAAAGAATGAGAAATTAGATACATTCATAGGAAAATGGATACATATTAAGGATATACTCCTAAGTGAAATAAATAAGTCACACGTGTAAATACTGAATAGTTTCTCTGGTGTGTAAAACTATAATAGTACATAAGATCCTAATGATATAATGGACAATGTGAAATAGGAAGAAAGGGGCTAAAGGTGCAGGGAAAGTGAGAAGGGTAGGGGAAAGCTAATAAGGGAAAAGAAAAAAATATGAGAAAATGAAAAAATGGAAATGAAGTGTTTATAAATGGGGAGGGGAGCTGGGGGTGAAGGGAGGGCAGGGATAAGGGGAAAAAATGAGAACCAAGACCTGTCATGTAAAGGTACACGATCCCAGCAATGAATGTAACTGTACTGTATACCTAAAATGTACCAATAAACTCAATGAGAGAAAAGAAAAAGAGCTAAGGCATGGTTTGTTGGAGGCTGTTCACCTGTGACATTCCTTTTGGGGAAGTGTTGCCAATTAGCTGACCTCTTTAAAAGTTGCAAAATATAGTACAGATGGTAGCATGTGAGAATTTCAAGTTTCATTAATCAGTCGCTTCATTTTCCTACCCCAGTGAGAAAGACAAGGCGCCCCATATAGTGAAACACAAGAGGAGAACTCGGAGAGGGGAAAGACAGACCACTTTCTGGAAGAAAACAAGACTTCTGCTGTAGGGAAATTTCTTTAAAAGTGACAATAACTTTAGCAAACCTGAACTGGATGTCACTGAGTCCTCATCAATAATGTGACTGGTCCAAGTAACTTGAAAAAAACCCTTTAAGACTTAATTGCCTGATCTGCATAGTAAAGATTTTTTTAATTTTCTCTGTTTGAATAAGCGATTAAACTCAAAACTGACAATGCATATCATTTTTTAAAGTGCTTAGGTGTAAATTGTATACATGTAAAATAAATCATAATTCACAGTTTTGCCTGGATATTCTCCTGAGAAATGAGGATTACAACTCAATATAAAGTGTGCAAACATAGGGATTTCAATGCCCAGGTCCGTGGACCAAATTCCAAATTTGAAGTCCACAAGGCGAAAGATAGTTTAGGGCTTGTCTACAGCCCACATTTTCTCTACACAGTTTCAATCTTTTCTACGTTCTCATGAAGAAATTAACTGGAGTTTTGCAAAGTACACACTCTACGAGATGATGAACTGGGAACCTGCTCTCTCTGGTACACAGATGAAATTTAATTTAATGAGATGTCTCAAGAAACACACTGTTTCTCACTAACCTCTCATCTCCATAACACGGGAAAGCCAAAAATAATTCTAAACGGCAGGAATTAACGGACACATTTGCAATTGTTCCTAAGTTCTACCTACCTTTAGATGTGATCAGAGCATAGCCTGAGTATGAAGAGTCAAATGAAGTAAACAACTGACACAGACTTTATTTTAATTTATTATTTCAAATGTATGTATGAATGTATGTTATATTCATATTACTTTATTTACAGTGTTCTGTATCAGAGTAAAAGATTCATACCCATCCTTTGAAAAGTAACATCAAGTGGAAGTAATTGTCTGCATTTCCGGCCTTGTCACCATACATGTATTTGCTTCTCCCTCCCATTTTGCAGACCTAAGGTAGCTTACGCAAGGACTTTTTAATAACGCATAGAAAAGCATTCCTTATACCTCCATGAGATCAAGGGGAAGAGTGGGGTCCTTGTAATATCATAAGCTACTATGACATGGAAAGAAAAATTCCCCTACCCGCTCTTGTCTTTCTCCTTGCTCTTCTCTTCCATCCTCTCCCTCTCCTTCCTCTTCATTTCCTCTTCTTCTCCTCTTCCTGCTCTTTTTCCTGCAAGTGTACAAGTCACTTTAGTCACATAGAGTTATTCGGAACAACAGACTATGTGTAGAGCCTTGAGTGGGCTGGAGCTGCCTCACGGTTATAAGACATTGTCTTTCTCTGTCTCAGGGTTGGAAATTGAGAATCACGATTGATTCAGAAACTCGGGCTGGTAAATAGAAATTACTGTCTCTGTTTTATTTCTGCCTCCCAGGCGATCCTCACGATAGTATCTCTGGCGGATCTCTTGATGGCGTCTTCACTGGTAGCCCCTTGACTCATGTGGGTATATCTTAGGGATTCCCCTCACAGAAGGAGCATGAAGACGGACTCGTTACTCTGGTGTTCAGGCCTAGATCTTGACTTCAACACTTACCTTCAAGACCTACCATTCAGGAGCCCAAAAATCCCAAAGGCAGGTCAAATCTTGCTATTTGAAACTTCTTACACCGGGGCCATTATCTGACCTTGTAGCTGATGCTACTTTCTCTCCCGTATCTGGTTTCATCCAAAGTTTGGAGAACAGCACTTGGTAGAAAACGGTAGCTAGTCAATGCTTCCCTCTGGTACAAAGGAAGAAAAAGCACTAGGGCAAGGACTTTGCTTCCAGTTACATAGCTATAGTTTACTCATCTAGTAAATTGGTCTATACGAGGTAGGGTGGAAAAGTACAGTGAATAGCAAAACTTAAAAATCATTATAATAAAAGACACATTGCCATCATTCTCTCTCCAAATAAATACTCTTACTTGGAGCAAGCCTGTCCCCTCATTTTGCCACTTCCTGATAAATTTCTGAAAGTCCTCTTTGATGTCTTTAACTGTGCCTTCAAGGCTGACTTGAGGTTCTGAAGGGCTTTGAAACGTTCATCTCACATGATCATTTTGACTTTGGGGAAGAGCATAAGTTGTGCCGGTGCAAGATCCCATGAACAAGGTGTATAAGGGAATGTGAACTTGCCTCTCTATTGGCTGGTGTTGGCAAGAGCATTCATGTTTTTAATTGGAACTAACAAAGATACCCACAAAAGAGGATTTCTAGAATTGTTTCAAAACAATGGAATAAGAGTGTTTGAAGGAGGGGAGTATTTCGAGGGGGTCTCATGGAAATATGTCTTTTACTGAAAGAATGTTTTTTAAAATTTAAACATCCATGTTAAGTTTTGATCACCCCATGTACACTAGAAATAAAATGATTTACAAGAAACGATGGATTAATGTATATATAAAAATAGAGAGAGTAAATTCTAATTTTTCTCAGTTGCTATTGTGTTGTACACCTTAAGTAAAATATATACTTCAGTTACCAGTCATCTAACTTCTCACAAAGGCAATAACGGAATTCATCATTCAAATCATGGGATTTTGAGACTGAATTACAGTATTTTCATGGAGAAAAAAAATTATTATAATGCATGATTCCTCCAAAATCTGTGTTGTAAGTTCAGTACAGCTATTCCTACTGGGACAAAGAGAAGGGTCCTGTGAATCAAGAGAGTTTCGGAGAGGGCTGGGGATGTAACTCAGTGGTGCCGCCACCTACTCTGCAGGTGCAAGGACCTGGGTTCAATCCCCAGTACAGAGAGAGAGAGAGAGAGAGAGAGAGAGAGAGAGAGAGAGAATATGAATTCTGGAGAGGGGTTGATTGGAAGGTTTTTGTCACTGTCATTGCTATATTATTAGAATTACTTCATATAGTAAGATACGATCAGGTCTTGTTATTTGTGATAGTTCTGTTTGATGAACCTATATGAATACTGAGTTAATACCAATCCATTGCTCCTAGAGCATACAGGGTAGGTTTTTGCAAAACTCTGATGTCACTTTCACCAATCAGTCCATATATGACTTTGTACTATGTGTGATTCTGTGTAAGGGAGTCCACTTAACTATAATGTTGATGAATTAACCTTGAGTTCATGCCCAACAACACTATAAGTGATATCGACACACATATTTTCTTCCTAAGGCGCATCACAACCTCCTCGTACTTAGAGAGGACAGACAGTGCTTAGAAGACATTTTTAATAGGGAAATCAACAGCTAAAAAGCACGAAGTGAGAAAAATATGGCATTAACTGGAATACAAAAGGTACACTTATTTTTAATTTGACAGAAAATAAAACAAGGCGGAACATCATAGTGTTGCCTCAGCGGAGAATTTGCACTTACAATAATGTAAATGTTTTGCTGCTGAGTACATGTTCTCAATAAGCGTGAAAGAACTGTGACTGTTAACCTGGGATTACAAGCAAATTTTAGTGAGTAGGCAAATTCACAAATATGGAAGCCACAAATGGACTGCAAGCCTTTGTCCTGCACTCTGATGTGCATTTTTATTTAATACTAGATCCAGCAAGTAGATTCTGTGGGCTAAGCAGTAGATCTAAAGTAAGAAACAAACGGTCTCCTGAAATATGGGGGAAGGTGACTTTTAGAATTGTTTTCCATTAATAATGTACAGTGACACAGGCGCCTTACGTTGTCTGAATCCTCAGAATTTTGGGAGTCGCCACTCTTGGTCATTCTGACAGGTGTTTAGTGATATTTTACAGTAGTTTTAATTTGATTTCCTCAAAATTTAACGAATTGCCAATTTCTTAACTTCAGACGCAGAAATTGGGCCCTGGAATGTGTCCGAGGAAATGAAAACTTGAAATGACAAAGAGCACTTGTACCTAATGCTCGGACATCTGTATTTACTGTAGTCAAAAACTGGAAGCAATTCAAATGCCCTTCAATGGATAATAGTGTAATAAAACGTGACTCTACTTATATAGATTATTACTTAATAAAAAGAGAGAAAAGTACTAATACAGCCAACAGCCTGGGTTGACTCTCTAGAGAAATACACTAAGTTAAAGAAGCCAATTTCAAAAAGTTATTGCTGTGTGATTCCCTTTGTATAATATCCTTGAAATGAGAAAATAATAGAAATGGAGAACAGATGAGCAGTTGCCAAAAGTTTAGCTGAGAATGGAGGCAGGAAGGAAGTGGGTACAGCCGTAAAAGGGTAAAAGAAGGGAGTCAGACAGTGGTGGAAAGAGTCTGCATCGCTTCACGTCTCATAGTGATGTCCTCACGATACTGTACTGCTGCTTCACAACTGATGACCTCCGGTGTGTGCTACCTGAGGTCCCTTGGAACTGTTACGAATAGAAACATGTTTGTTAAGGGTTAAGGCATTTCACTGGAAACACATTATTTAATTGTGTGCATATTCAGGGCAAGTTTTTATGTGTATAATCATCCGCTTTACAGAGAACAATAATAAAATTGATTTTAAAAATCCAAGTCAGTGGTTTAAAACTGAGTAGACCAATGAGTAGTTTGACTATGGGGTTTTCCCCTACTTTTGAAGCAGATATGCTGACATCCTGTATACATATCTTGAAATGATTATTCAAAGTGCAAATTAATGTCTTACCCCACACATTCAAACTCCTCTGGCTGATTCTTTTGCCCTTTCACTCCTGTGCATATCAAAGCCCTTTTGTAATAGGAGGAATGGAACTTTGGCACCTAGTGAAGGTGAATGGGCATTCTGCAAAATACTCCTTTTGAGCCATAAAAAACTAAAAACAGGTGGGTGACATCAAATGTAGGTAGGGGAAAAAGAAATTCTAAGAAATCAGAGAACCAGTTTGGTACCCATTTGGAAAGACAAGAACTATTTTTAGATGTAGAGAGGATGTGGTCATGAACATAAAACGAAGAGCCATGGAAATCCAAAGCTGTATTTTTCAATATCAGAATGTACTGTTATATATTAATTATCAGGTCGCCATACTAAGAGTAGGTTAAAAGAAGTTGTTTTCCTTTTTTAATAGGAAGTGGTCAAATATAAATGGAAGGCACAATATATTAAGTACATAGAGGAAAGAAATCTTGAAGTTGTATTGATAAAAGATATTAAACAGTCAAAATATTAAAACAATTTCTTAAGATAACTGTCTGTTTTAAATGTTAACGTGTTTGAAATGTTGAGAGTGGATTCCTAAATGCTAGCAGACAGTTGTAATAGACCATAATGATTTGTTTTGAGTCTTAAGAGTTTCAAAATATTCTACCAACCCACTTTTCACAGATGAGATTCTGAAGCTACTGATTCAAGTAATTCTTTTCTTGAAAATGCCACAGTGCAAATCCGGAGGTCTGTACCTATAGGTTGCCCGATGTGCTCCTAAATTTTGTTTTTAATATCCATAATCATTTCTCATGCTTTCCCATCCACTAACCAACTTAAGATCACTGCTTCAGCGTGCTACAGTTTCAGTTCATTTTATGCAGGTTTCAGTTGCACAGCTAAAAAGTAAAAGATGTTTTATACATTTCTAGATAAAGTGACCATAAGAAAACAAATAAAGTTAACTTGATAATCTAGCACAACAAGTCAGACCTGGACTTTAACGACAAGTATTCATTTACCTCTTTTCGCCTTTCTTGCTTGCTTATCTATAAAATAGGGATAGTAATTCTTTTCTCCCAAACTGTTTTGTTGTTTTTTTTTTTTTTGGCGGGGGGAGCTTTGAGACAGTCTCACTATGTGGTTGAGACTGAATTGGAACTCACTATGTAGCCCAGGATGGTCTTGAACTCACAGCAATCCTCCTGCCTTAGCCTCCCGAGTGCTGAGATTACAGGCATGCGCCAACACGCCCAGCTATCCCAAACTATTTTGAGAATTGAATGACATTAGATGTAAAGAGTTTGGTGAATGCCACAAATAATATTATTATTAATGAGTCTGAGTATATATGATTATTACTGTTAGCCAGTGACACCACCATGGTTCTGATTACAATCCAAATTGGATCTTAATAAATTATAAGCAAAAGGTTACCAAAAAATGAAGCAACTAACAGTTTACCCAATTAATATTTTCTATGTCTTCAACTGAGACAAGATCTCTCCTTGAAAAAATTGGTTTATAAATCTGAGTGCACCTTTTACTACAGCTTTATCAAAGGTGACTTTTCTCCATATCCTCACTGTACTTGCAAAGCTAGATGGTCAAAATATTCAATAAATTGATATATTCAGGAAATGACCATCATTTTGTGACCCTAATTTATTATCGGGGAGCTGCAAAAAAACTTAATTCTTTTCTTCTTTCTAAATGTATCCTACAATAAAATACTCCCCAGTGAATCTTTTCTCTTAAGAATTTTGAAAAGTTAATATTAAAATGCAAAACCATATAAAAGCTGGCTTCAGTCACTGTCAAATAAAGTTCACTATTACAGTAATCATTTCCATCAAAAAAATGTCTAACCTGTATTCTTCCTTCTCTGTTTGATCTTTGGTATAAATAAGGAATCATTGTTCATTACTATTTATAAAATATATTTTGTTCCTAATTATTTGGCTAAAACTTGGTTTATTAGATAAGCCATTTCACTGCCCTTAACTTGCACACTAGTCCAAATTGCTCAGCTCTCTCTCTCTCTCTCTCTCTCTCTCTCTCTCTCTCTCTCTCTCTCGCTCTCTCTCTCCCTCATTTTGCTTCTTCTGTTCTCAGTATGAAATGTGTAACTGCCAATCTTAAGAACAACCTCCCTGCCATGCTGCCTATATCTGGTATCCAGGATTTAGGACAAACAGAATCACCCACTGCTTACAGCAGTTTTTTCTTTCACACCCCTGCTAAGATACAGAGAATTACCAGAATTGTTACCCTACCATAGCAACAATGATGTGTGACAAGATTTTAGATCAAATATATTATGTCCACCTTTGGAGAAAGCCATTGAATGAAAAAGAAGATATTATTTATAACAGATTCTAACTTTATAGATTACAATTTCCCCAAGAATTGACATGTTATTTTATAGTAAAATCACATAACTTCAAAATACTAAGTGCTGAAGAAAGAGTAAAATAAAGTTTGAATTAAAATTAGGAAATTATAGGGGAAGAGAAATTATATCAATGGCAATTTAACAGAGAAAAATCGAAGAAAAAATCTGTATTAACGAACCCTAACAAATGCTATGATGAAGACAATAAATTCACTTTAGCCATTGAGAGGGGATTTTTGACCATTTCGTTTGGGGGCCAGCACAGAAGTTTCCTAATGATATTTTTGGGTTGGTGAAAGTCATCAGAGGCTCCTCCTTCTAACAAATCTGCCAAGTTAAATATGTTTTTTGCTGTTGTTGGTAATTTTTAAATATATTTATCTAACTAAATGAGTCACTGAGCTCTAGAAAAACAGAAGCATGCAAACATTATACTAAAGAAATTTTATTGTTTCTGCTATTCGTCTTTATTTCTGCTAGCATATTTGCCTCCATCTTGTATTGATTCTGTGCTTACTGGGTGAAGATCTTTTTTTTTTACTTTTCTTTTTTTTTACAATTATTTTTTTGAAAAACATTCTATGTAACTGACTGAAAAATGAGACAGATTTATATAAGCACCATTTCACTGACAGGGTAACTTCTCAAGCCTGGGCAGTCTGATTGACAGAAGACATATAGTAGTGAAGGGCACTGTCCCTCAGTTACAGGTTAATATTAAACTGCACTCCCATCTTGAATGTCAACGGATGGAAACTGCATGTTAAACTCGTATATCACCCAAAGATTTCACACTCGGCATTTCAACAGGTTTTTATAGGTGAATCACCCTGTCGTGTTAGAGCAAATACCATCTTCTCTGCTAAGCTATATATCAGGTTTCCACATGTTTTTCACTACGTTTTTTTTTTCACAGTTTCTCCTTAAAGATGATACTAATTTGTCACAGTGCCTTTTAGGGCTTTTATTTCTTCTGACTCATCTCTTCCAATAAAACAGCCCACTGAGGACACAATGTTATCGGGCCTCTCTATGCCTTTGTTTACTTTCAGCAGTGATAGTCCTCCTTTACTCTTTCCTGTCACTCTTTATAAAGTGCCAAGTGTTCTCACTTGCGTTTTCTGCTGCTGGTGTAAGGTGATGAGTCCAGGTATTGGGTTTACACCATAGCACGAACTCACTTCTTTCCTGTACTCCAGGGAGACACTCAATCCCACAGAGGCATAGAGTGACCGCCCTGGAATAAAACGCCGTTCTCAGGATACTCTGTCTGGGGCGTCATAATGACTCTGCTGGTGACAGCTTGTCTACGGCCCGGAGACATTCATAAAGGGCGCTGTTTCTTGGGGAAACTGTTGTGCTGGCATTGCTTTCCAATGATCTGCCAAAGCGCATACCCTGTTAAGCTGAGTCCCCATGCATTTCAAGGCAGACAAAGAAAGGTACCTTGGAAAATAGTATCCGGGTGTCTTACAGCGCCAGTTTCTGTTTCTATTTTTGAGAGGGACCTTTAATCATTTAAATAGATATTTTCTTCCATCGCCCAGAGAAAACCAACAGTTACCTATTTCAGTAGCTCAGGTTAACTGTGGCCACATCTCTTCTATTCCATCTTCACTGCTCAGAAAACGTGTGTGTGCTTAAAAGGCACGGTGCTGAAATGTAGCTTGGGGAGTCGTAAATGCCATTAGTAATGAAGGTAAATATGTCACGTCCAGCAGACAAATCTGAGGGGTAACGAGGTTCCAGATTGGGAATCAGGGAGGAAATCTCTGGAACACTTTACTTAATGGGGATTTCTTATGCACGCAGCAAAACTAAGTTTCATTCCTTTCAGAAGTAGTGACCCAGTTAAATCTTATCTGAGGTTCAAAGCAGCTTATTCCGTTGGCTTTTGACAATTGGCACATTTTGCTATCCTCTAATAGGTTAATGAGAGTAAGTCAAGGGTTTAATGAGAGCTACAAATACCACAATAAAGTCTTTTTGACTTTGTGGTGATTTGACCTAAAGAAAAAGCACTTAGATTGGTAATTCTCATAAACACCTATGCTGAAGAAGATCTATCAATTGTAGTTGTGAGAGAATGAAACATTAACAATTTTAAGCAGATTTTATAACAGAGTTACAGTGATTTGAATAAACTAACCTGCAAATATATATTTAAATTTCTAAGTAATGCAATTTCCCAGAGTAGTTAAATCCTATCTGTATGTCATTAATCAAATAGAAAAAAAAAGGATAAGAGAGAGAGAGAGAGAGAGAAAATGTAAAAGAAGTGAGACATTCTAGTCTTAGAAGTTCATTTATTTATTTAAGTCACCAAGATGTGGTTAATTTGAAAACAAACCTATGTCTAAGCAACGCTTCTCTAATCAAACCTTAAAATCTGATTTACAAGCTACTGACATGGAAGGGAACAATACTGAGAGCTACCAGTAGGTGACATTTTCCCTCTCCCCAAAGCAAAAGTAGGAAAAACAGAACATAACAAAGGGGACAGGTGTCCTTAAGAATATTTAGGAAAACAATGGGGTTTTTATCTCCGACAATCTGTGGGTGAAAAGACTTCAGTATTGTTTTAAAAATTATATAATAAAAGTATTTGAACTCAGATATGGTAATCCTGCAATCCCAGCCCTCCGGGAGGCTGAAGCAGGAGAATCACAAATTTGACACTGGCCTGGGCAATTTAGCAGATTACTGAAACCTTGTCTGAAACAAAAACAAACTGGAAACAAAAAGGTTAGGAATGTAGCTCAGGATGAGGGCCCTGCGTTCAACCTCCAGTACCAACATAAGCATGCATACATCCGGACATACATACACACATACATAAAAGTTACAAAAGTTGGGAAGCAGAAAGAAAGAAAAATAGGACTGTATATAAAATACCCTGATTTATACAGAGAAACAGTAGCCTTATTCTTCTTTCTTTACTGTCATCTCTTGTTTCTCCCTCTCTCCTTCCCCCCACCCCTCCACCCCTGTCTCTCGCTGCGCCTCCCGCTCCTGTGAGGAACAGTTGGTGAGGAGCTCATCTAGGAAACCATGCCTGCCTCACAGTGCTAGAATAGCAGAACTGGGAAGGCAGCAGGAATGGGAAAACCTACCACACACGTATCTGTGGGGGGTCTCAGAAAGGTTCCTTTCAGTTAGATGACGGTAAGCCTCAGCGGTTTATAGTGTGGCATATGAAAGAGAGAATCATTCCAGGGTATGGTCCCGTGTAATGTTAATGGCTATATTTTCACCTGCCAGAGAGACAAAGGATATATTGGTGGATGGTTAAAGTAGGATAGAGTACATAGTGCATGGTATGAAATAAATGATATAAGAAGACCTACAACATATCTTGTATTTTTCAGCAAATGTTAATATTAATTGACAAACCAGTAAGGAAGAGTAAAGATGAACAAAGAAGGATATCCATTTGTTTAATACTTAAAAGAATAAAAGAAAAACATCAAAGGCATACATTGCCAACAACCACATCAACAGAGTCAGCCTCTTAATCATTTGGAAATAAAAAATGAGATTTCAAATAAGCTATCCAATTGCAAGGATTAACCAAAAATGAAGCCATCCCTAGGATCCTCAAGTGCATTCTAAATAAGTGTACTGGCTTCTTACTTTCCATAGGAAATCTATTTGGGCACTTAAATCCTTACGTGCTCCTTTTTACTGAGGCTTACTTTACTGGAACATTGGACTAGCGGTCAAAGTAAATTGATCAGAAGAAGTCTGTGCCAAACAGCGATTAATTACACACACACAAAAACCTCTAGCACGCGATTGTTCTGGCTGATTTGTATAATAAAACCAATTTTATGTCTTTGCTCCATATTCTTCTAGCCAAAAGTTATCATTATCAACCCATTTGTTTTTGTCACTTATTATGGTTTTCACTGCTGTAATAACTTTCAGATCTGAAGTATTTCTCCTTATATGGGGAGTGTCCTTTATATATGTGCACATATAATAGATTGACATATGTTAACTTACATAGAGTCCACCTATCAATTATTATGACATGACACACTTTTCTCATTAAGAAGCAATGATGTTATAATGTTTAAGCCCAACTTGGTATTTGTATAGTTTTTATTTTTAAAAAATACAGCATGCAAATAGATCTTAATAGTTTTTCAGTTTTATTGCAAATCCAATAAGAAATGGGAGCTGCTTTAAAGTGTATAAGTTGAATGCTTCTCTATGTAGATAAAAACAAATTTTGTCACACACATATAGAAAACAAACAGAAACCGAATGAACTAAAGTCTCAGCAACTAATATCATATATGATGTTCTTTTCTTGACTCAAGTGAATCCTGAGTCACAAAAAGGAAAGCATTAGAAACATATATTTCATGACGTTTGCTAGTTAGATGATATAAAAAGCTGAAAGCACACACATATTTCAGGAGATGCTTGCGAGGTAATTATGAAATACTCACTGAACATTTACCATGCGCTAGATGTAATACAAAGAACTAAGTTAAAATCCTGTCATTTGGTAGAGCGCGCAAAATCATAAAGTGTGACTATATGTTATGATAAACAACAATAAGCACAAAGCTGAGAAAGTAATAACCGAACCTCTGCCCCTTTGAATAGCTCTGTATGAATTAATACAAGCGAGAAAAAAGAATCCACGAACATGAGACGAAAGCAGAAAGCAAGCATCCACAGCAATCCTCTCTGTCAAATTAGTTTTGGGAGGCCTTCGAATGCAGGGGAAACAGTACCACCTCGAGTGTGGGAAACCTTAGTACGTTTTCTGTTAATACCGGAGGGCTTCATTACTATTTGGTACCATCCATTCCTTAGCCTGGAAAACACTACACAGAATGAAACCCTGTTCTTCCCAAAGTTTCTCACTTGGAGAAATGCTGCATATGTAAGAAACGGTCAGATTACTGTTTGTTTTATTTTGAAAAAGGGAAGTCTTCACTGAATAACACACACCCACAGAACTCATAAGGGACAAAATAATCATGGAATTCATACCTAAGCAGGTGCACTTGTTAATGACAGTGTGAAAAGGTGTAAGAAGCAAAAGCAGACCTAAAAAGGAAGAAATCGGAATGAAGTCATGAGATCTAATCTACCCTGGAGCAGCCAAGCAAGGCTTTTGCTGTAGTTCGTCCTGCTGTCGATTTCTATTTCAAAGCCCAGCATCAGCCTCTGCGGTGGTGCAACTTCTGCTCTGATGGACACAATAGCCTTTTCCCTAAGCCATTCTGAAGCCACTAAGCCATCTGCCAGCCACAGCTGTGCTCTCGTTAAAGGTAGAAAGTAATAGTCCACATTCACAGATGTGACTCCTCGGGCATTGCGGCCTGAGAAAAGGGTTCAAGTTCCTGGGCACCTGTGTCATAAGACCATGAGTTTGCTCAGTTATGATCTGGAAAACTATTTGTTCTCTAAGTGATCCCACTTACAGGCTGATGAGAATTACTCAGCACTATACATATCAAGGATTTCCCCGAGACAAGGCATGCTAGTAGTGTTAGTACGTACGTTAGGAATTATGAAGCACAGCTCTAAAGCACAACCCTAAAGTGGCCAATGACCCGCAATCATCCTGTGCATCTTTGAATCCATAACACAATACACCAGGGGGCTTTGCCATAGGATACCTAGGGGAGATTTTTCTTGTCAGATGGCTTTTTTTCTTGATATCCAGAATAGGTAGTTGAAATAAATTTAGCAAAGGGATTAAGAGAATGGACAGGAAACAAGAAATAGGCACACTAAATATGTCGGAGTCATGGAGGTTATTATAGGATCCCAAAAATGAAAATCTGTGGCTGAATAGACCTTAAGACTGTTGTTATGTTACGGTAAGTAACACATCTATCACACAGAAAGTATTTATACTACAGATTTCCCAGGAAAAGTGGAGCAAATACACAAATACTCACTATAAGAATTACAAACATCTAAAGGGGAAGTGGGAAAGGGAGGGGAAAGGATATAAGGGAAAATGAAAACAAAGGAAGCAGAGTCTTTGTAAATAGAGAAGGGTGACGCAGGTGAAGGGAGGGCAGGGGAACAGGGAAAACACAAGAAGCAAGACCTGTCATGGAAAGGTACAGAATCCCAATGATGACTGCCAGTGTACTGTTTGCTTTAAATGTACCAATAAACTTAATGGAAAGAAAAAAGAATCACAAACAGCTATGGTGATCTTTCTTTACCGTTTTGAACATGGAGATTC